TGGAACTTCATGGACCAAAATAATTGAAGCTCGAACCTTGAGGACCTAAACCACAAATTAACAATAAAACCCCCAAAAACCATCTTCCCCCACCCCCCAAACTTCATCTTCTTCCCTACAGCGCCACCGTCGTCTCCATGCAGAGCCATCAAGGTCCACCTCGCCAAGATATGTATTTTGTTTTAATTATTTCACTATGACCCCTTCTAATCTAATAACGGAGGGTTAATTTCACAAATGATCACTGAAGTTACGTCAAAATCACAAAACGGTCACTGAAGTTTAAAATTTGCACTAACGGTCACTGAAATATCATTTGGTTTCATTAATGGTCACTCAAGGACCTTTTCATTTTAATTGGAACTTCATGGACCAAAATAATTGAAGCTCGAACCTTGAGGACCTAAACCACAAATTAATAATAAAACCCCCAAAAACCATCTTCCCCCACCCCCCAAACTTCATCTTCTTCCCTACAACGCCACCGTCGTCTCCATACAGAGCCATCAAGGTCCACCTCGCCAGATTTGTCCCATTACTCCATGCTAAACCCAACTCAAAGAAAATAATCCTCACAGCCTACACATAGTATTACCAGCAGCAAAAATTCCCTGAATGAAAATTTACTTGAAAAAGTACAGTGGTTGTTTATGAAATCCACACACAGTGACACCTAGAAAACAGATATAGATACTGGAAGCTTAAAAAGGATTTTGATTTTATGTGAATTGTTCAAATCATTGGCAGAAAAAGATGCGCAACCACTCGTTACAAAAGCTGTTGATTTTTTGTGAACGGTTGAAATCAGTGGTGCTAAACCACATAAGAAATCACTCTATTTTCGATCAATTCGAGTACAATCAAATTAAACTGCAGTAGAAAATGATGCTTCAACGCAAAAGAAGAAAAAAATGGTTACTTTTGGAGGTGGGTTTTGGTTGAAAATCGAGACGGTTCATGGATTAGGAGGTTTTCTTTGGTGAGTTTGTGGATAAAAAGTGTAAAGGGTTGAATTCCCTGAAACTGGGAATTCTACCCAAATTTAAGATCTTTTAGAAACATTGATAATGAAGATGAAGTTTGCCTACGTGGAGAAGACGGTGGTGCCGATAATTTGGGGAAGAAGATGAAGTTTGGGATGGGATGGGATGGGGTGGGATGGGATGGGGTAGGTTTTATTGTCAATTTGCGGTTTAAGTTCTCAAGTTTCAACTATTTTGGTCCATGAAGTTTTCAGTGACCATTATGATACTTCAATGACCGTTAGTGCAAGTTTTAAACATCAGTGACCGTTTTGTGATTTTGACGTAACTTCAGTGACCATTTGTGAAATTAACCTAATAACGGACTATTCTACATGACTAGTGGAAAATATGATTTGGGTTATTGTAGTCCCTGGTGTATTTTGTGCAAAAGTTTCTTGTTGGTTACTCAAACTTCATTGTCTTTTAAATTGGTCACTTGAGTATGCGAACTATGCAAAAGCGTGTACAGGAAGCAGGAAAAAAATTTCGATAAAAGATAAGAAGCCAAAGCATTTATTCTTCAAATTTGTGTATTTTTACATTTAGTAGGATTCACAATAACATATCATTCACTTTTTCAGGGGGGCTTGAAATATTTTCAAAAGAGGACTTCGACGAATGAGTCTCAATTATTCAAAATTGACAAGTGTCAATTGATGTCAAATATTTTATTGAAGTTGAAGTCGAAATTAGCGGGAACTAAATAGAATTATTAAATTCATTTTAACGGTCATCCTCGACTAGCTAATTCAAGCCAACTATTTAGTTGTTTTTCATTTGATTTATGCATCGCATAGCTGGTCACGAGTTCTTCAAACAATACAAAAAACCAACCTTGATGATCGAGAAACATAGCCCAAAATGAAGCCTAAGGTGGTGATGCCAACACATTAGGCCATTGTTTGGTATGGATTAAAATCAGATTTTTAATAAAATTTGATAAAATGTGTAATTGAAAAGTTTTGGGACCCATAAAATATGTGGTTAAGCCTTTGTTTGATTCCCATTTTTTTCTCTCTTATTTTCAACCACACATTCTTCAATAAAATAATACTATACGTAAATTCAAAACTTTTATTTATTTTTTAATCACACATTCTCCATCAATCTACTATTCTAATTTTTTTTATCTATAGATGTTTAAATGATTTTGAATCATCCACTAAACATAAGTTTGTCCATTAGTTAATCTTCACCCATAAATAAATAATCCAATTAATTAATTCTACAAAATATCTTACATTTGTCAATCACATAATTGTTAATTACATTATTCTAGTTTTCCCTTTTATGTTTGACTTATTCAGTTCCTGATCACAATATTGGACGACGTGAATTATTATTTTAACTAATCAAAATAAGATAAACTAAAACTTTCCTTTTAATTTATCATTAATTTAGTTTAATTAATTCACATTCGACGTCCCCCAATTGATATCTAGTAATATATTTGATGGGAATATCACGTTGTATGACAAAACTAAATTTGTTCATTTCATGTAGAACTATAATTCATTCGTCAATATAATCCAATCAATTATGAGATGTAGGGATGGTCTCTTAGTTTAATCAATTATATCTTTCATCTTACTCTTGAGTTAATTATTGCCGAAAACTCTTCAGCTTATGAACTCATCTTAGTCATAGATTTCAATATCAAATTACCCTTTTTTTCCAATTTTTGAATAGGAAATTGATATTTGCGTGGGCCCCAATGTCCTTCAACTGATTAAAATACCTGACACCCGTGCTGGCACGTTTTTGAGTAAAAAACAGGGTACCATGTTTTTACAGAAATCCCGAAAATGCCCTTCCATTTGTAAAATGATATTGTGGTAGTTGGGCACGTGATATTTGGATTGGAGGGCAAAATAGGTACTTTCATGGCAACGGTCAAGTGGCTAGAATTTGTAGTCTGACATGATGTTGTGCTGGTCTGATTTTTTAAAGATTTCCCACTGTAGCAAAGTGCATTTTTCCCAAAAGAAAGAGATTCAAACGGGGGCAATGAATGAAACAAGTCATATTCTGTTACTACTTATGAATGACGAATTTATTGATCATTTACAACCTTCACATAATTCTTGTAATACCCAAACGATGTTATATTAGCGGCTCTTGTCAGAGCAACATCCAAATCACCAAAACATGACGACCCTCGTATAAGGTATTGTGTTTATTTCAAGTCAAATGACCAATTTCAATACCGAACATTAGATATTAACCACTGATACTAAAATAGTTATCCATGCGGAATCTCTGTAGCGAATCTCAAATATTTTATTTTCTTAACAAAACATCCATGTGTCTATTTATATGTCACCACATTTTTGCTTGTAAGATCATTCACTCATTTCATAAGTGAGAAACGACACACGCGCTAGTTTATCCGCAATAACGATATTCATATCTCGTTATTACTTAAGATCGCGAATTATTTAAGATTCGATCATATGTAATTTATATCTCACGATCACAACTATTTGTGATTAACAAGTTATCACAACTTGAATCAAATGATTTTATCAATTTAATTTATCAGAATAATAATTTAATTAAATAATAGATCCGCCACAAATAAAAATGCATCAATCTTATTAAAACTTTTTTCATTCCAAAATCGATTGGAAGTAGGGCATTAACACTTACACTTTTCATCCACGTATTTCATCGTTTTTTTATCAAAATTTACATCTACACTAAATAAGAACATAAAATGTGGATGAAAAGAAATTTGACTTTTAGCAAGTGTTTATGAACCTGTAACACTTGCCAAACATAGCTACCATAAATTTCCTCAGGTATATAGCCTTTGTTTGACAATCATTAAAATTAATTTTTTGAGAAAAATGAATTTTGAAATAGTGAATACTTGGAGAATGTGTTTAAAAAAGTAGGAAAAAATGGAGTTTATGTGCAGAATATTATATTGTGAGAATGTGTGATTAAAAATGAGTATAAAAAATGTTTTGTTTAATGATTATCGAATATGGGCCAATATAATAAGAGTTATGTTATTTGTACAGCCTCTCACGACAACACGACTGGGGTTAGGGGATGTTTGGTAGAGATTTAAACCGGATTAAAATTGAAAAATTAACAATTATTGTTGACTTTTATTAGACGAGCTGAACCCAATAACGACTATATTTTTAATTTTAATTGAATTTCAAACTCTCCCAAACATGCTCTGAAATTGTGAACCCCCTTTATCGTGAGAGGAATGTACTTTCGGTGTAAACCCAATAATATAATAATGCATAATTCCATTTTATCAGAACTATTCATTTGCGAGTTGCACAGATGTCTTATTGATGTGGGCCCCACCTGATTTAAATGTTATTAAAAAAGTGGGGCCCACCTGAATTGTGTCTTCCCTGTGAACCATTCGTTTCTAGTGTACCATCACTCATAATGGATAATTCCTGGTTTGATTACCTCCAATCATAGGGTTTCTTCAGCCTGCAAACCTGACCACCTACAATGTATGACTGAAAAATAAATAAGGAGCATGCTACATGTACAAAATAAATTACAGAATGAATTACAAAATGTCAAGTGGCACGGTGCTCATTAGATCATTTCTGGATAGATATATACACATGCACATGTAAGTCACAAATCACTATTCGTGTCTTCTATTGTTAGTGAGAGTCGGTCACATTTTAATGAGGAGAATAGTATCTTTTTGAAAAATTTATGACTAAAAAAATACAAATAAAAAATACATGGTTGATAAGAAGAGAAAAAAATAAATTTGAATTTAATGGGAGCCAAACATTAGCCCAACAGTTGATAGTCAGTTTTATGGGATATCACACGATAAAAGTTTTAATCATGTATACATAATGGTTGATTAATTAATCTCAAAAGTACTTGACTAATTTGTAAATGCAATCATACACAGGTACCTCTCTTCCAAGTCAATTTGGTCTGGTTTCCAATTATTCAGCTGCAGGAGTTGGACGATAGGAAATGGAAGTTGTAGCCAGGAAGAAAACTCTTCTAATTCTGAACTGCATACTACTAACTGTAGGCAACTGTGGTGGCCCTTTGATCATCCGCCTCTACTTCCTCCGCGGTGGGAAAAGAATCTGGCTGTCAAGCTGGCTACAAACTGCCGGCTTCCCAATTATTCTCATCACTCTCTTTGTATCCTACATGAACCGCCGCTGGCAGATTGCCATCAATTGCACCACCGAGCTTTTCTTGATGAAAACTCGGGTGCTCATCGCCTCGGCAATTATTGGTAATTCTTTATCAATACGACTTAACAATTACTTAAGCTGTTAGAAAAGATTCGCATTTATATTTTTTTAAATTTGGTTTTGAGCAGGTATTATAACAGGCCTCAGTAACTATTGCTGTGGCTACGGCCAAGCTCGTCTGCCTGTCTCTACCTCTTCCCTTCTAGTTGCCACACAGTTGGCTTTCACGGCAGGCTTTGCTTTCCTTCTTGTTAAGCAGAAATTCACGGCTTTTTCGATAAACGCTATCATTCTGTTGACAGTTGGGGCAGCAGTTTTGGCTCTTCATACGAGTAGTGACAGACCGAAGGGCGAGTCGAAGAAGGAGTATGTTTTAGGGTTTGTGTTCACACTTGCGGCGGCAGCTTTGGGTGGGTTTATTTTTCCATCTTTAGAGCTTACGTACTTGAAGGCAAAACAGGCTGTTACGTATAGGTTGGTTTTGGAGATTCAATTGGTTATATGTTTCTTTGCTACTGCATTTTCCACAGTTGGGATGATCATTAACAAGGACTTCCAGGTTTTCTCTCTAACTCTCTCGTCTTTCTTTAAATTAATTCGTCTAAAAGTTCCAATTCATGACGGAAGTGTTAGAATGGACAGCATTCCAATTTTTAGTGGAAAAAAAAAAGTTGAAAAAATGTCTCATGTGTCGGGTTGAGTAGGCCACAGGTCCAAGGGGAGAAACGCGGTCGGGTCAAATTTATTTATTTATTTAAATAGTCTTTAATTTTATCGCGCAAATACAATTTTTATTTTTATTTTTAAATTAGAAGTTCAACAAATATCATAAATAGTTGATAAGAAGACTTGTCATGTTTTTTATAAAAGTTTTTATGGTATAGTTACTTTATCTATTAGCTTAAATAAGATAGCGATAAATTTAGCCCACATTTTACCGACCATTATTATAAAACTCTTTAATTTTTACACTCATTTTTAATCACACGGTTATTAATAAAATATTTTACACGTAAATTCAAAATTTTTCTTCACTTTTTAACCACACAATTTTCAAACAATCACTATTTAAAACTCAATTTTCTCAAAATAATGGTCATCAAACAGGGCTTATTTGTTTGAATTATGTTCAAAGCCAAATATATTTTTCTTATTTCAATGTTCAGGCCCTGTTTGAGCCACCTTATTGCAGAATGAGAATGAAAAATATAGTTATTATTGGGGTCCACACAAGATATAGAAAATTTGAATTTAAATATTGATGTGATTGATAACGATCATATTTTTCATTTTAATGAGATAAAAAGGTGGTCCAAACGGGGGTTTAATATAGCTCCCGTTTGAATCTCTTTCTTTTGGGAAAAATTCATTTTGCTACAGTGGGAAATAATTTAAAAATGAAACCAGTACACCATCATGTCAGACTACAAATTCTAGACACTTGACCATTGCCATGAAACTACCTATTTTGCCCTCCAATCCAAATATCACGTGCCCAACTACCACAAATATCATTTTACAAATGGAAGGGCATTTTCGGGATTTCTGTAAAAACATGGTACCAGCTTTTTTACTAAAAAACGTGCCATGCACGGGTTTCACGTATTTTAGTCAGTTGAAGGGCATTGGGGCCCACACATATATCAATTTCCTATTCAAAAATTGGCAAAAAAGGGGTGTCAAACGGGGCCATAATTATGTCGTTATCCAGTCAAATGAGTGATTAATGTGCATTTTGAACGTTTTGTCAATTTCATAACCAATAATACTTTTTCCTTCACCAAACATTTAAAAATAATTGAAGTAATTCATGTAATTAAATAAACTAAATTAGTAAGTCAAAGCACCCAACGAATCGGATAGATTTCGTTTGTTTTACTTGTGCATTTGCTATGTATTTTGATTGAATAGACATTTATGATAGATTACTCCATCCTGGTTTCAGGAACCCCCTTCAATGAATATCTTCCTTAATTTATTATATTATGCCTATGCTTGTCTTCCATTAAAATAAATCTTTTGAGTAAAATAAATTTTAAAATAGTAATTTTTTAAAAAATATGACAGTTAAAAAGTATGAATTTTTTTTTTGATTAACGTATAAAATATTATATTTGGTGAATATGTGGTTAAAAATGAATTTGAGATTTANATTTAAAAAAAAAAAAAAAAAAGGAGTTCTAATTTAGCCCTTATTTCGGCTGCATTAAAATTTTAATACATTTTTATCTTTCTCTTGTTTGAATTTCATTAAAATTTTTACATATTTTATCTTTCTTTTTTTAATCACACATTCTTTAATAAAACAATATTAAACTTAAATCCGAAATTTTGTTTTCCTTTCTAATCGTACATTATTCCAAAATACGTTACTTCTCTAAAAGTTAATTTTAGTGGAGCTCGGGTTTAATGGAAGACAAATAGGGGCTATATGGTTGGGTAACGACCTACACTTACATTTGTATTTTTCTCAACACGACTAGAAATTGTTTGACAACTTCCATTAACATCACGTGGCACGAACCCAGCATGGCATGCCAGAAAATCTTGAGGCCTGGCAGTGCCTGTGCCCAGCCGTGAACTACATATATTAAATTTTTTTCTCAAAAATTTAGGGTCCGCACAAACCATTTTTACACCTCTAGAGCCACTAGGTAATGCTAGAGGGTGTTATTCTTCTTATTCCATTCCGTAGCTTCCGTGCGCATTAATTAATCAAACAATCTCTTTATCGACTTCGATTGAGAATTATTTTTTAATATGCTACATGTTTTATAGGCAATCTCAAGGGAGGGAAAACAATATGAACTTGGAGAAACAAAATATTACTTGGTGCTAGTTTGGACTGCCATTATTCTGCAAGGTTTCTTTTTGGGCATAGTAGGAGTAATATTTTATGGTTCGTCGCTACTAGCTGGAATTATAGTTACTGTATCAATCCCTATAACAGAACTTTTAGCAGTTATTTTCTTCCATGAAAAGTTTCAAGTAGAAAAGGGTGTTGCCCTTTTCCTCTCTCTGTGGGGATTTGTTTCCTACTTCTTTGGTGAGATGAAACAAAACAAAAAAAATATTCATCAAACTGAAGGAACGGAGATGGCTCGAGCTGGTGATCCTTGATTCACCATAGAGTCGATAACATTGACATATTTATAGTTTTATTCTTGTAAAACGACACTTTGAGTGTCATGTACTAGCTAGATTGCATTGGATGGTACGATGGATGCCATCAACAATTCATCTTCCCAGTTTTGACTCTTTTTCTCTTTACTTCAGGTGATTAATATTTATCATGGAGTTCCATAATTTGATCGTGAATTAACTAAACGTTTTGGCTGAGGGCGAACGATGGATGTGACCTAGTTTTGATGGTTTAATTTCAATTTTCAAGTTTAGCCTTCAAGCATAATTCCATGTGGTGTTTTCGTAGTGACTACTTCTATCCAGCCAATAATGGAATGATTCGTGAATTGTGTTTAGATCGAGGGATTATCTACATGTTTTAGCTCGAATAACGATAATCATGAATTTGTACATAGATTGGAACTTTTTATTTCAGATGGAGCCAAGAAATTATTCACAGGACAATACATAATAACTCTTCCATAAATGTTAAAATTTGGAGATAGATAAATAATTATTTTTTGTTTATTCATCTGTTCAATATAGAATTAATTTCTTGATTTAATTAAAAGAAGGTTTCAACCCATCGATATAGTCTTGATTTTAGAGAATATCATCGAAAACTTGGAGGTTGGAAGCATAAATTTTTTGGGCATAAAAGCTGAAAGCTCGTTATCCTAAAAGTGGAAGTTTGTGATTTAGATTCAATTCAAGAAATAATCATCGAATTTAGGTAAAAATTCAAATTCTTATTCTTGATATAATATACACATGAATATCGAGACGATCTTGCAATGAAATCTGAAAAAGAAACAAGAAACAAAAGTTTAAATTGAGGCTAAAATTAACAAAAAAAAAATGTCAAAATAAACAAGTGTACAAGTCATGATAAGTAAAAAAGTGAATTTTGAATCTAAGTATCATGGACACAAGGTCTAAGTATCTACTACTAATTTTATCATAATCTATCTTCAATCTAAATTAATTTAGTAACTGATTACTAAAAAAATTATGTTTCTACCTGAACTATACAATAAATCTTATTTATGAAAGCTTAACAAGTTTGTGAAGACAATTTAGGATTAAGGAGTTAGGAATTTTGATTTTACTTAAGTTATTTAACGTTCATTTAATCCAAATCCATTCTATTATGATTTATGTTGTATTGACAATTCTTTAGACAATAATAGGATTGTTATAAAATAGTTGTAAAAGTCAAGGAATCTTTTGAAAAATTGTATAGATGAATTATGAGTCATTTGGTTTGAATATGGAACAAAGAGAAAAAGTAGTTGGATTTAGATTAGCATGTCGTTTAACTGATGCTCGAGCGGAAAAAGTAGAATCATTGTCGTCCTCCTATCGCTCGAGCGACGCACCATTCGCTCGACAGTCGCTAGTATGGCGCTCGAGAAACGATGTTTTTTGAGAAATCCTAATTTACGTTTTTCAAGAGTTCTATCTATCATATAATATATAAATACCTCTTATTATAAAAACACAATACCCACTACGTTTTTGTAAGTGGTTGATCATTATTTCACATCCTCATAACATCATTCCAAAATCTAAAAACACATCCAAATATTGAGATTAAACATTTGATTCTTAAGATCAATTAACCACAAGTTAGGAAAAACATCAAATTCATATAATTCAAAACACTTACTTCCTTATATAATGAGGAATGCACTTTCTCAATTGCTTTCAGAAATTGCTGAAATTTGAGGGATGTTGGACCAGAAGCACATGAAGATTGCAAAAATAAAGTGTTTTTAGTGATCCACATGAGATAGACAATTTCAGAAGATCGAGAACAAGTGTGAGTGAAGCACGTTTCATCAAGTCTTGGAGATTGTAGAAATTAGATCGGCGAGTCTAATGAGTTTTTTCTAGGTTGGATCATACTGTAAATTCTTATTGTCTATAGTGAAAGTTACTGACTTTGTCCCAGAGTTTTTATCCAATTAAAAGTTTTCTCCATCATCAAATCTTGTGCTCTACTTATTATTATGACAATTTAACATAGGATAAAAATGATTTGATTGACTAAACATTTAGAACAATTAAAAAGTAACTTGTTGATTTCAATTGGTAACTTTAATTCCGCATTGTTCACCTATTACGTGATTTTATTGTCGAACTAATAACTTTCACATTCAACTCGTTTTTCATATGTATTAATAATCGAATTAATCAATTTTGGTTAGTAATCTCTCGAGCAAAACTAACCCTTTTTACTTGTTCAAATTTAGTATATTTCTATTTAAATCCATACATATGTAAAAGAACTCAATTTTAGTAATTCAATTGTGATTGCATAAGCTATAAAAATATCTCTCAATTTCTTATCAAAACTTATATTACTTATTGTACAAAATAGACAAATAAATCTCCTCTCGATCTCAAAACTTTTTTTTCCCTCCTTTGGAAGCATTGAATCAAGCTCATGTCCAATTAAAGTTCACACCTCCTATCTCCCACTCTAATTCGGAAAAAATCCGCCCCCCATGCCACAGCGAGTTGGTATGGTTGTTTATCTACAATCAACTATGTCACATGAAAAATTGAATGATTATCAATTCAGGAAAAATAGTTAAACAACTTTATTATGTAATACTTAATTAATACTTTTGCCTCAAAAAATGTGAGGCTAGTATTTTAGTGATAATTTAGAACAGTGTTGGCCTTATTATTTGATTTATAATATAAATATTTTGAATATTATATGTTTTGTCATTTTATATTTGAGTTATAGATTTAGTTTTGAAAAACTCTTATGATGAAAAAAATTGAATGCACGCTTATATTTTAAGGACTCAATTTTTAAAATCCGACTCAAATCTTAAAAAAATAAGGCTTGATGATTGGCCCACAAACCGTTTAATATAAGCCCCTGTTTGGCAGCTAGAATTTATTTTTGAAAGAATGAGTTTTAGAATAGTAAATTTTTGGAGAATATGCTGTTAAAAAACAAGAAAAATTTTTGGATTTACGTCATGAATATTTTATTGTGAAAATGTGTATGAGGAAAAAAAAAGAGTTTGAAAAGAATGATTGTTAAACATGAGCTAATTTTTTATCACAAAAAATTACAAAATAAATATAAAATAACCTTATTTTTATTGGAAAAATTACAAAATTAAAAATAAACTATGAAAGCCTTAAATAGGCTAAAATAGCCTATAGCCGTGTAAGGCTAAAATAGCCGTCACAGCCTTATTTAAGGCTTTTAGCCTTAAGGGTCCGTTTGATTGCAAATGTGAAAAATTGGTGGAAATAAAATGTTTTATAGGGAATTGATTTGTTTAGAAATTTTTTTGCTGAAAATTGTAATTAATTGTGTTTGATTGGTATAATTTTTCATGAAAAATGTTGAAAGTTTGGTGTCCGTTTGACTTCTTTTTTATGAAAATTGTCCATTAAAGTGATAATTTTTTCTACAATTGGGTCTAAAATTTGTTCCAATT